AATGCGTTTTTTTTTTTTTTTTTTTTACTCAAATGTGTTTTTAAATCAAATATCTATGCTTCTAAAAGAACAAAAAATATGATGGAAAGCCACGATTTCTTGCCGCACTGGAATTTTTTTTTTTTTTGTTATGCAGTATCTGTTAAATTATCGGTACTCAGGTAAGTACGGCAGAAAGGTCTGAGTTTGAAGAAGTAATTGTAAGGGAAGGGAGGGATGTGACCGGTAATAGTGTAAAAAATTTATTATTTTGTACCATTATTATTATTATTATTGCTATTATATTTTTTATTATTATTATCATTTCTGTTTCATCCTTATTTTCAGTTTTATTTATAATTGCCTAGAAGCTGAAATTTCTGAGATCACGATGAAATTGTGATTGTGGATTGGAGATTTTTTTCTTGCATGCCATTCATCATGAATAGAAAAAATTAGGATTTTACGGATATTGTGCTCTTTTTTTCCTGATGATTTTACGCATTTTTTCATTGTTTTTGTTCATCTAAACATCTGCCGGATTAGGGAACACAATGGCAGAGCTGTTTATTTTTGCTTCTCAAACTCATGTCATTGATTTGGTTCTTTTCAGCTTATGCAAATGTACTGGGGGAAGAGATGAGGTTTTGATGACAAAAATATGAGATTTTGCAAATTCAACTTGAGGACAATAAATTTCATCTTTTTCAGTTGTTTTACAGTGATTTAAACGGAAAAGATCTGTTATCAGTTTGAAGAGATAGCGAATTTAGGTCACGTAATGATACTCGCAATGAAAAAACCAATTTGCAGTCAAAAATCAATTTTTTTTTCAGTTTTAGCTTTAGACCCGGACTTTTGTAGCACTGGTGCCTGTATCCTCCGAATCAGGGGCTTCTGCATCACGACAACATCACTGATATACGGGCAATCTTGAGAGGCATTTTATTTGTAGGGTACACTGCTTCTGCTGCTTCTTGAGTTCCACTAGTGTATTTCTACTGCTATTGTCTTCGACAGCATCTGCTGCATGTTTCATGGCAAGGAAAGTGTTATGTGTTTCCACAGAAGGTCCCCAAAACACGTCAAATTCCAGCAAGACTTGGCTGTGATGCACAGACGTACGTGGAGCAACTGCGTGCGTGTTTTTCACGTGAACAACGCTTTTGAAGAGCACAATTTTATTCAATGATATAAATGGCTAGATGAAAATACGGATCTTTCTTCGATTTCGTGATCCCTTTTCATCCAAATTTCAACATTCTGCAAAAAAATATCGATTTACTGAAGTCCCCGTAGTGTCTGTTATTATCAATCCTGGATTTGCTTCCCGGTCAATTTCATAGAATCAAAAGTTAGAGATATGTTAGTTTCTAATATATAAAAGCTCTTCCTAGAATGCGCTTTAACACTTTGTTTGGCTACAATTTATAGCGTGGTTCTCCAACTATTTAACTGGCAACTTTTCCAGTTGCTTCAGGCTGTCACATAATATTTCACATAATGATTTATGGCTTTTTGTTAAAAATTGCGTAAGGAGCCTTTGCATCATTATGATGCAGTACCCCTAGTTCTTGGTTCGATTATTCCCTGCTCCTGTGGAAATTCATTTTGACACTTAACTTCCGTCTGTTTCTCAAATGAGGTGCTATAAGGTCGGGGTAGGGCTCTTTACGCAATTTTTAACAAAATGCCATAAATCATTATGTGAAATATTATGTGACAAGGCACTGCCTTAATGGCCTTGGTAGACAGCCTGCTGCTGGCGATCCTGACGACGTTCGTTTCGGATTCAGTATATCAAAAGTCAGAACTCCTTTCGTATTTGCTCTGCTTGTGAGGTGGGGAACTCGGAAATATTCCGGAAGCAACCACTCGCTGGTTGGGTTGTCAACAACTCTCTCATTCGGGTATTGCTTGTAGGCAAGCCGATGCTGGTTCGAGAATACAAAGGTCATAAAAAAGTTAGGAGAGTAAGACAAGTCACCTTATTCCTAGTTTCAGCATGGGTCCTGCGTATCCAGGAAGTGGGGTTCTCCGGCTTGGTCTAGCACTAGTTTTTGTTAGTTCCCTGGCTTAAGTTATGCACAGAATAGATGTTTCTTGGTCGCGTAATTTGGCTTAGGGAAGGCTTCAAAAAATGCGACTTCAACAGGGCATGCCGGTACCTTCCGTTAGCAGCGAATCCGATTTAGCAGTAAATTCTGGAATTGTGAATTCGATGCACTCGTCCGACTGCAGCGATCCAGGGTTTCTGAAAAATATAGGCCAAATTTATGATGCTGTGCCTGACATGCCATCTGGTCCCATACAATGATCCATGTCTCTATTAATTACCATAAATCATAATTCAAAAAATCTCGTCAATTTCAAGTTTCACTAGTGTAAAATTCACAGCAATTGTCAGCCCTCGTTCGATTTCTTGATCAAAAAAGCTTCTGTGCTAGGATTTGTACAAGTGCAACACACTGCATTTACAGAGAGGACAAAAAATTACAAATGTAAAATAGGGACTAAAAGATTTATAGGCTTATATTTTGCTGAACCAACAAATCTCGAGAAAGCCAAGACCGTCAGGAAAAATACTCTACGTTAATGTTAATGATTTTAATGGAATACCCTAATGTGCCAGATGCAGCAATTCCAGGCCGTTCGATCCTGAGCTGCATATTTCCTCTGTGGGCCTTCCTAACATATATAATTCCATGCAGTTGTTCAAGCGAATTCTTCCACCACACACCGACGGTCTTATCTGTGTTTTTTTAATAACACACGGGTACCCCACACAACGATCTCATCGTAATTTTAATTCTGATCGATTACTGATTGGTACTCATGCAATGTTGGAAGAACACAGAAAAGGCCATCAATGCGGTGTTGTGGAAGGACAGGTTCGAATGAGCGGTGACAAAATATGATTTTATCATTAACGCACCTGATTATGTGCGGCGGCATTATCGGGAATGATTCAGTGGTGGTGAAACGTGTGCTTTGCTGTGTACTTTGTTTCGAAAGCGACGGTAGATCGTCTATTGTACGCAAATAATTGCATAACTTTGAAGAAGTTTCTTCCTCGGTCTGCAGCACTGGTGTTGGCAGCTGGCTTTCCATTGCTATTGCCGATCTGAATACTATGCTAGTAAGTTCGTGCTTGAAAAGAGCAAGTATTTGAGATTTTTCGCAGGCAAAATCCGGAAATCATACGACAGACTGAATTACCGCAGCCATCTGTTTTTATTAAACCTGGAAGACTTAAAGTCTACCGTAGTTACTTCTTAAGTTCTTATTAAACTACCGAAGCTTTAACGGTAAAATCACTAAATCGGGAACCAGAAAAGCTAGAAAGCTGAAATTTCAAGGCTATACAAGTGCAATTTAGATATTTCAAATTCATCCTCCAGATATTAAAACCCTTTTGAAGCCGCTTAGTTTTTTAACAAATCTCGGCGACTTTGTAGCTTAACGCAGCCCCAGCGATTTTTATTAGACCTGGGTGATTTCTAGCCTGCCATAGTCTTTCCCTCTATTCTTTCCAAGTTCGATCATTTCAGTATTACGCACATGAGTTTGTAACAGTAGTTTATCGAAATTTGCTGCCAAGGAACTGCCGGTAATATAAGTTGCGCATATACATCGAAAAAGTGGAAAGTACCAATTCGATGTATGCTTTTTGGGACTGATCAGCTTCGGTGCTACCGCAATATTAGACCATCCCAGCAGTACTATCACTGACATGGAACACCCACATCGATTTTCTTGATAATCTTGGTATAGCTGAATCAGAAATATATGATTTTGTATAGTGGACACAGAATGGTGCGAGAGTACTGGGGTGTATAAAAATTATTCGGAGGCAGTACAGGAGGAAACACTGGTCATAAATATGAGGTAAATTTATTCTCAACAGCATCATGCAAAAGAGTGACTTACGAGAGCGGGTAAAGCTGAGCCGAGTTGTCCTTCTCGAGTGCGGTGCGTGGCTCCGTAGTGGCAACAACCGGGGCATTTTTGGCAATTCCGTGGCTGGCGTTTTCCAAATTCCCAGCTACCGCTACATTTCTTGTATTCTAAACAATTTTTCTTCGTATTTCTGCTGTTTCAATAAGATGTACGAAAACTGAGTAATCTAACCTCTATTGGAGCAACATTTTCGCGCTCTGCTGGCCCTTTCCCTTTGTTTCCGCGAATTTGGGCACCAGGACTTTTGTGGATAGCAGGCGACGTCTCTGAAGCTCATTAAAAAATTTTAAAAAAAAATCTAAAAAGACAACTGTCCCTCTGTTGTAAATGTGTAAAAACTAGATGCATTCGAAAGTGCAGACCAATTAATAGGACTCCGCTAATAGCCATGTTCCTCTACGCTGTAGAACAACTGTAGGAATGCTATTCAAAAATAATTAGCAAATATGACAAATGTAGCATAAAATTCAAACTGATTGCGGTAAATCAAAGTTCAGAATTGATTGAAAGGAAAAAGGCGGTAACTGGACAATAAGAAGCATGTTTTTTAAGGTAAGTCGTAAGCCTCTTCTTTTTCCCTCAGCCAGTCCCCGGGGGAATAATCCTGGTACTAACCATGAGCACTGGTTTTATTCACATTCGCCGCCTGAGCTGGTGTTTCCGGAAAACTACTCAGTGAGTTTTGCGTTGACTGCGTACGTTCACTTGGGCCTTCACCCTTTTCGACTGTGTTCACTTCCAGAATCTGAATTGCGTACGCTTAAACGACCAAGTGGAATGATTTTCCTTTAATTTGCTAATTTGTTGTTTGTCGAAGATTAATTTCAGATTTGCATGTTTCTGTAACTCGGAAAAGTTCTTATGCTTGTCCTCCCTTAATTGGGCCAAGTCTTAGGACCCGCTAAATCCCCTTTTTTGGGAGGTTTTTATTTTGAGGAAAAAAGGCAGTGAGTAATACCTGAAGATCTGTAACCTATTAATAAAGGGCCTGGCAATGTGTCTGGTGTGTGGTTTATACCATAATCATCCCAAATATGGCTACCACTCATCTTAGTCATCTTGGGCTGTTATAATTTTAAGAAAGGAGATTTTTGATAAGGCAATAAGGCACTTTAAGTTGTTGGAGAGATAGTCGATGCAAAACGAAGACG